CTCCTCAGTAGCACATAAACAGAAAAAACTGGAAGTGGCACTGTGGCTCAAGTGGTGGAGTCTAGCCTTGAGCAAAAGCAGCTCAGGGACAGTACCCAGGCCCTAAGTTCAAGCCCTAGGGCTGTCAGAGAGAAAGAGAGAGAGAGTCATAGACTTTCCCTGGCTGGCTTTGAACTGCAATCCTCACATCTCAGCCTCTTGAGTAGCTAGGATTACAGGTATGAGCTTAATCTACTCTCAGCTTAATAAATATTTTTATCTTTGCATTGGTTCCATTATATACTATGAAACTCTGAGATCACCACGGAGTAGAAAGGAACATTTTCATTATTTTAATTTATTTGGATTGTAAGCAGTATGTTTTGGCCAAAGAGCACATGAAATAGCAGTTTTATTGGCCGCAAATACCAATCCCAATGCAGTTATTTTCAATTTTTTTAAGCCTGTGCCTGCTTTTTAGCCAATATAAAAACTATAGATTCAAGTAACTGATGTTATGGTATAGGAATATCCCTTGTTAAGATCATTGTGTCAGCTGGGCACTGGTGGCTCACGCCTATAATCCTAGCTACTCAGGAGGCTGAGATCTGAGGATCGCGGTTCAAAGCCAGCCTGGGCAGGAGAGACCGTGAGAATCCTATCTCCAATAAACCACCAGAAAACCGGAAGTGGTGCTGTAGCTCAAGTGGTAGAGTGGTAGAGCGCTCGCCTTGAGCTGAAGAGCTGAGGGACAGTGCCCAGGCCCAGAGTTCAAGTCCCACGACCGACAAAAAAAAAAAAAAGATCATGGTGTCATTTTGTTAAGATCATTGTCTCATTTTGATGTGTGTTCTAAATGAAAAAAAATTGATCAAACTTTACTTTCTGTAACATTATAAAAGTAATAAACTATTTTTCTCATTTACTAAATACAGAAATTATAAATAAAATACCCTACCATTACTACTCTAAGGACATAAATACAGGGAAGAGGCCAGACAGGTACAGTAGCTCAATCCTAGCTAGTTGGGATGCAGATTATCAGGGAGAATCATGGCCCAAGGCCAGCCTCTGTAAAAAGTTGGGAAACTCCATCCTAACCAATCCCTAGGCACAGTAGTATATGCTACCATCTACACTGACATGGATCACAGCCCAGGCATACAAGGTGAGGCCCTATCTTGAAAACAACCAATGAAAAAAAGGTCCTGGAGGTCTGACTAAAGTAGTAAAGCATCTGCCTAGCAGGCATGAGGGCTTCAGTTAAATCACCAATACTACCAAAAACAAAAAATAAAGGAAAAAAGAGGAGAAAGGGAAGGGAAGAAGGAAAGGGAGGACACTTACAAAATATATAAACCAAAACACATCAGAGGATACATGAAATTAGTCTACCCTCTGATTAACATTTAAGTTCCTTCTATGCAATCTACTAGTTCAGTAGTACATTTTGTAGCTGTTTAATTAATTAAAAATTAATAATCGAGTACTGAGTGCCAGTAATTCATGCCTGAAATCCTAACTAACTATTCAAGAGACAGAGATTGGGAGGATCATGGTTCAAAGACAGCCTAGTCAAAAAGTTCATGAGACCCCAATTTAACCAATTGCTGGACACAGAAAGTCATGGTTCTAGGGCCGCAAGAGCAAAACGAAGTTTTTAAGTTTTAAGACCCCTTCTTTTTCCCTAAACAACAAAAAAATTAAAAGCTGAGCATGGTGCCACACCCTGCAAGCCAAGCTATGGCAGAAAACACAAATAAAAGGAAAGCTGTTCTGGCCAGAGCAAAAAGCAAGACTCTATCTCAAAAATTGGCATGACTCCGGGAGAAAACACCTGTTTTTTAAGCACAAAGTCTTGAGTTAAAACATCTACTACCACCAAAACAAAACAAAATAAAAACAAAAATTGAAGTCATCTCCAAAGGTAAACAAATTCTTCCCAATTCTTTTGGAATCCTTTTCTACATTAATTGTGTGATTTAGCGACTAGAGTGATGTCTTAACAGTGTTCAATTCCACAGTCTAGTCTTCCTGCTTCTCATCTACCTAAGGTCTGCATTCCTCATCTCATCATCCCCGTATTAATCAAGAAGCAAGCATACAATCCAGTTACCTCTCTCTACAGTGATCATCTTCTGAGAAATTCAGTGTGCCTTGTGCTCACTGGTCTTTCCGCATTCTAATTAGTTCTTTTACAGAGAGGGTATTCTCTTTACCTCTGTCCTTCATACCTTTTTTTTTCTTCTGTCTTTAGTCTCCCTATTTCATTTTTGAACCAGATAGCTAAAAAGTAGAAAAGGCAATGTTGTTAATATGCCTTACTAAAAGTCGGGGTGGAGTTGGGGGGGCGGGGGGTGGAAGGAAACCTTCCTATTTCTTATTATTTATTGAAACAAACCCTAAATCATTCCACAAAGGGTATAGGGTGGCTATAACCTAACTGCCTTTTTGTCTTAATTCAAGTTTGCTTTGTCTATACAAAAGTTATTTTTCAGTTTCATTGTGTTTTAGGTTATTGGTTAGGTTTTTGTAGGTTAGAGTAAGTATTTTCCAAGCACTGGTGACACAACCTGTAATCCTAGCTACTCAGGAGGCTGAGATCTGAGAATCAAGGTCAAAGCCAGCCAGAGCAGGAAAATCCATAAAACTCGTATCTCCAGTTATCCTCAAAAAGCTGGAAATGGAGCTATGGCTCAAGTAATAGAGTACTATCCTTGAGCAAAAAAGCTCAGAGATAGTGTCTAGGCCCTGAGTTCAAACCCCAGGACGGACCAAAAAAATAGAATAAGTATCATCTCATAATTTTTTTTTGAGAAAATAAACTTTTAAGGTCTAACTTTTTGTTAGAGTCCGGTATTCATTTCTACAACACTTAAAAAGAAAGCCTGTTTTAGGACTTTCCTTCTATGATTTGTCATTCCACTAAGACAAGAATTTGTAAGTACAAGTTTCATATCCATTGTAAGCATTTGAATATATACTCCCACAGCTTCCTACTTTTAATAAAGAATTCACCTTGGTTTCAAAAAAAAAAAACCTTCAGAGATAGAAACATAGCTTTTATGTATAAACATTCTGCTGATTTAAAGCACAAAAACCTTTCTGGTAGAGTTGTACTAATAACCAGTTAAGCTTATATGTGATTGAAATTTCCATTTGAAATATTGAAGGTTTCATATATATAAAATTGGGAAATTCATGTAAAGTACCTTTAAGATGTGGTTTTTACTCCTTAAGACAATAATTGTTCTGCCTTAGTTTATGGATATGGCAGGTTGAGTCCCTTAACCATTGCTTATAGGATGAAGTCTAATGCATGTTAAATGTTAGTTATCACATACATAATTGTGTTTTTGTTAAAACAGTATATATGGTATGTGAATTGAATCCCAAAGCTTGTACAAAATATACAACATAGTAATGTAACAGTAAGTAGATTACAGTAATGATAGCTATACATTGATATTATAAGAAAACAAGGGTTGGCTTAAACTGCTATAAATTTGTTCTTTCATTATTCAAATAATTTTATGTATAGTGATGAGGTGAGGTATATCTTTAGAGGTTTCTTATAACCTGCATCATACTAAATTTATGTAGTATCGTGTTTAAGAGGTAACAATGTAGTTCTTAGAACTTGAACTTTAGAACTAGATACAAGTTCAAGTGGTAGACCTTAAACAAGATTAACTCTTCTCTGAACCTTTCAAAAAGCAGTACACACACCTCAGAAGGGTTCTCATAAATGCCAGGCAGGGAGAGAGAAAGATGTAAAATACCTAGAATAACACTTAGCAAATGGAAGAGGCATCAGTAATAATTAACTATTAGTGTAGTATTGTAATTTTAAAGCAATTGTTTTGATTGCCTTTCTGTGCTATAAGCTATTTAAATTGAAATATTCTAAGAAATATGGAAAATTTTGGTTTTTAGCGATAAGCCTAGCTTTTCTTACCTTTTTCCTTACTCTTTGGGAAGATTACCAAAACTTTGCTAAATGAGCTTAATTGATTAGTTTATGTAAGTGTACTTTGCTTATGTGATGAGTTCATGTTAATGTATTTTTATGGGGTTTGGGTTCATTTGTCCATGGGAATCAACCCCAGGGATCTTTGCATGTATGTGGTTAATTATTTATTAAAATTTTTATTATGACATAATTAAACATTTAAATATTTGTCACCTGGTTGGATAAAATGAGATTTCTCCTATAGAATCAGATATTGTTAAAGATATAAGATTTACTGCCAGGCGCTGGTGGCTTCCACTTGTAATCCTAGCTACTGAGGAGGCTGATTGCTGAGGACTGAGGTTCAAAACCAGCCTAGAGAGGAAAGTCTCTGAGACTTTTATCTTCAGTTAACCACCAAAAAGCCATAAGTGGAACTGGGCATCAGTGGCTCATGCCTATAATCTTAGCTACTCAGGAGGCTAAGATCAGAGTCACGGTTCAGAGCCAGCCAGGGCAGGAAAGTCCTTGAGGTTCTTATCTCCAATTACCCACCAGAAAACCGTAAGTGGTGCTGTGGCCCAAGTGGTAAAGCACTTGCTTTGATTTGAAGAGCGCAGGGACAGCATCCAGTCCCAGGGTTCAAGCCCCCAAAAAAAGCCGTAAGTGGAACTGTGTCTCAAGATGTAGTGTGTTATCCAAGATCACAAAAACTCATGGTGCTGCAAGGAAGTGGCACTGTAGCTCAAGTGGTAGGGCACTCACCTTGAGCTGAAGAGCTGAGGGACGCGCTAAGGCCCAGAGTTCAAGGCCCACGACTGACCGAAAAAACAACAACAACAACAAAAACTCATGGTGCTTACTCCCTGAGTTCAAGCACCAAGACCGGCACCAAATTAAGTAAATAAATAAAATAAAACAAGATGTATTTCTCCCCTTTCTGCAAGCATTTGTGGAAGAATTAATTTTAACTGGTTATTGGCACTTTACTTTTTACTGAGCAGATAAAGCTTGATGTTGACTTTTAGATGGAATCTAAGGGATTCACTTTAAAATATTGTGTTCCTAGGGCAAATGGTATCATCGGAGACAAGCTGTAAAAGAATTACATAGTACATTGATACGTCTTTTAAATGAATTATTACCATGGGAACCAAAGTTAATGAAGGCTTTTCAAAGAAACAGGTAATTAAAGCTTTATGATCAGTTTTACTTATTCTAGAGCTCTTAATAGATGGTTTGGGGAAAGATACACTTTTCCATTCATTTGTAATTCTGCAGATATTTTTGAGTATCCACTGCATGATACTTCCTCAAACCGTGGGAAAACTGTTGATTAAACCAACTCTCTTCTCTGTGACTTATATTCTAATGGAAGAAACATACAAACTCAAATGTGATAAAGGCTGAAGGGATAGGAAATGCCTGATTTGGAGAGGATGAAGATTACTCTTCATAGAAATGAGGAAGTTAGCCTTGTGGATAATCTGAGGGAAAAGCAGAGAGACTAGAAAGTGGGTAGTTTGTAAAGTTGGGATATCTGTTGTTTTGTTTGTTTGTTTCTTGGTTTGTTTTTTGGAGAAATGCAAAGAGGCAAATTAACTCAAAGCAGCGTAAATGAGAAAGACAAGAATCACAGAGGTAAAATGAAAGACATTCAGGTCATATAGGACTTTGAAAAGTTTGGCTTCTTTTTTGGGGAGGGGTCCAGTTGTGGGGCCTGAACTCTGGGCCTGGGCGCTGTCCCTCAGCTCAAGGCTAGCACTCTACCACTGGAGCCACAGTGCCACTTCTGGCTTTTTTTCCTTTTGCTTATGTGGTGCTGAGGAATAGAACCCAGGGCCTCAGGCACGCAAGGCAAGTGCTCTACCCCTGAGCCCCTGAAAAGTTTGGCTTTTATACTGAGCAGTACTGAAAGGTTTCACATAGAGAAAGATGTAGTCTTTATCTTTTCATTGTTGTTTATTTATTCACAGAGCAGGGTATTCAACCCAGGATTTTGCACATGCTAGACAAACATTCTCTTGCTGAGCTACATCACCACACTTAGATGTTAAAGCACTCAACTCTAGCTGTTTAATCACAGCAATAGTGTTACAAAATATACTTAACCTATTGTTTTTAGTTAAAGAGTTCACATTAGTAATGCATCTTAGTTATTTTGAGTTATTCCATAATTTTTAAGTAAAGCAAAAAAAATCTTTGAAATGAACAGTGTCAGTTGAACTTGCCATAATTATACCTATTCAGTCCTTGCTTCCTTTAAACATGTCTAGAACAATATTTCTTTTCTTTCCTGTTTCCTCCAAAAGAGGCAGTTTAGAAACAGTTCTGTATTGATACTTGGGAAATGCCATTTCTAGTTCATAGTGTATGTGTAAAAGTAGCAATATGCCATGATCATTAAACTTTAATCACTTTGCTGTTAGAAATTTATTTTACAAAATTATACTAATGCATTTAGAAAAAAATGAAACTGCTGTAGTAAAAACTAAGTTTGTTTCAAAAAGTTTATTTAGACATTGGTTATATTGTCTTTGAAAATTACAGTAACCTATGTATCCATCTGCTTTGCAACTATATATAAACTTGTCTACAGTTTTTAATTTCATAACAACAAAAATATTTTGTTACTTAAAAAAGTTTGAGATCACCCACTGATGGCTCACTCCTGTTTTCCTAGCTACTCAGAAGGCTGGCATGTAAGAATTTCAGTTTGAAGCCATCCAGACAGAAAAGTCCCTGAGACTCTTATCTCCAATTAATCATCAAAAAGCTAGAAGTAGAGGTGTGGTTCAAGTGGTAGAGTGCCAGCCTGAAGCAAAAAAACCATTTGAGAGCTGATGGCCCTGACTAGATAGATAGATAGATAAATTAGATTCATAAAACAAAATAAATAGTAAACTAACACAATAAATAGATAACTTTTTAAGAAAAGGAAGACCGTTGATGATGTGTTGAGGAAGATTAGGAATAAGAATTCATAACAGGTCTGGGAAGGTGGCTCAGTGGTAGAGTGCTTGCCTTGCATGCCTGAGGCCCTGAGTTCGATTCCTCAGCACCACATAAGCAAAAAGGAAAAAGCCGGAAGTGGCGCTGTGGCTCAAGTGGTAGAGCACTAGCCTTGAGCTGAAGAGCTGAGGGACAGCACCTAGGCCCAGAGTTCAGGCCCCACGACCAGACCCCCGCCCCCCCCACAAATAAAAGAATTTATAACAGAAAGTGGGTAAAAGTCTTAAGAATCTGTTCAAGAGATTAGGAGAAAATTGAAGAACCTTTTTTTTTTTTTAAGTGGTTGTAGGGCTTGAACCTCAAGCCTGGGCACTGTTCCTGAGCTCTTTTGTTCAGGGCTAGTGCTCTACCACTTAGAACCACAGCTCCACTTCCAGTTGAGTGGCTAATTGGAGATAAGAGTCTCACCGACTTTTCTGCCCAAGCTGGTTTCAAACCACCAGCCTCAGATCTAGGCTTCCTGAGTAGCTAGGATTAACTGTGTGAGCCACCAATGCCTGGCTTGAAGAACCTTCTATGGTGTTTTGCTGTAGAGTACAAAAATGGGGTAATGCCTAAAGGACAAGTTGGAGTTAAGAAAAGTTACCCTGGTAGTTGTTACAGTTTTTTGTTTTGTTTTTGGTGCTGTCCCCTAGTTCTTTCACTCAAGGCTAGTGCTCTACCACTTTGAGCTACAGCTCTACTTCCGGTTTTCTGGAGGTTAATTAGAGAGATAAGAGTCTCACAAGGACTTTCCTGCTGGAGCAGGCAGGCATGAGCCACCAGCACTAGCTTATGGTTTTTATTAACTAAATATTTCAATATATAGTTTAAAGTGTTAAAAGTTAGTCTTGTCAGGTGCCGGTGGCTCATGCCTGCTGAGATCTGATGATCACGGTTCAAAGCCAGCCCAGGCTTTTAACCAACAGAAAACTGGAAGTGGCACTGTGGCACAAGTGATAGAGCACTAGCCTTGAGCTGAAGAGCTGAGGGACAGCACCCAGGCCCAGAGTTCAAGCCCCACAACTAACTACAACAACAAAAAAAATTAGTCTTGTTTCTTACAAATAACGTATTTTGTTACTTATGAAAATTATCTGAATGATAATAAGTGGACTAGATGAAGAAGAAATGTTTGGCACAGTGATACTTTGACTAGACAAAAGGATGAACATAATTAGCAGTATTAGCTAGATATGAATGCAAATGAAAATACCTTGCAGATAAGATGTGAACCTTGAAATTCTCTTTAAGTTGCTATTATATGCCATGAAATAAGAAGCAATCAAAGCTAGAAAAGTAGTTCAGGCCTATAATTCCTAGCTACAGGCAGAGATCAAGAGAATTGAAGTTCAAGGTGAGCCACGCAAAAAGTTTGTGAGACTCTAACTCAACCAATAAGACAATTGGCACAGTGGTATGTACCTGTTACCCAGGTACGTTAGAAGTGTAATTGTTCAAATCCAGTCCATGCCAACCTGGGAAAAATGTGAGCTCTAGTTAAAAAAATAAATGGGATTAAAGACATTACTTACACTATCTGGAGGCATATATAGCACTTTACCTGTCCAGCACAACATCCTGAGTTCAAAACCCAGTGCCACAAAGAAAAAAAGGAGTACCTAGTAACTGAGCACAAAGAGAGCTCCATGCTGTCCCCACATAAATACCTCTCTTACCTTACAGATTGAGTCTTTTTTTCTTTTTTTTTTATCAGTTGTGAGGCTTCAGCTCTGGGCCTGGGCACTGTCCCTCAGCTCTTCAGCTCAAGGATAGTACTCTACCACTTTGAGCCACAGCACCACTTCCAGTTTTCTGGTGGTTAATTGGAGATAGGAGTCTCATGGACTTTCCTGCCTGGGCTGGCTTATAGATTGAATCTTCCAGCTACCCTTTGCTAGCTCCTGCCAGCACCTCACAGCCCCACAAAATCTCCAAGCAATCATTTAAAACAAGTAATTAAGTAACACTTTTTGAATATGTGCCACACAAACTATGAAGTGAATATTTTTGTTATCCCCATTCTATAAATAAGTAAACTCATGTTCCAGAAAGATTAAGGCATTTGCCTAAAGTTTTACAAATAGTAAATTTAAGAAGTACTTAAACTCCAATATGCACAAAATAAGAATAGCAAAAATAAATTGGAAAATGTATGTTCAGATTTTTCTGGAGGGGGAGCGAGAGGATGCCATTTCCTGAGGGTTTTTTGTTTTCTCTTTTTCTCAAGGCTAGCACTCTACCATTTGAACCACAGCTCCACTTCCAGCTTTTTTGGTGGCTAATTGGAGATAAGAGTTTCATAGACTTTCCTGCCTGGACTTGCTTCAAACCACATTCCTCAGATCTCAGCCTCCTCATTAGCTAGGATTACAGGCATAAGCCACCAATGCCTGACTATTACAGATTTTTTTTTTAACAGACAAACAGTAAAAGTTTAGGTAAAATAGAAATTTAGTTGAAAGCAAAAGGACTTATAAGAGATCCCCAAAATAGCATCTAATCATTTAGAAATGTCTCCATCTCTCCATAGTTTCTCAGAAACATTGCTAAGATTTCTGTGAAAGTTTCAGAGAGTACTTATTTTTTAGCTCTGCTAAAAAATTATATTATATGCCAGGATTAAGTGATGGATATATCTATGACAGTGTTTATTGTTCAAATAATCAATATTTTTGCTTAAATTTCTTAACTAGGTTTTAAAAATGATCTTCCAAACTATGCTAAAGTTAATTATTTTAATACTATTTCATGTCACTCTAACTCCTCTGTACATCACCTTTATAATAACAACAATTAAAAAAATGTTGAGACTATCTCAAATCCATTAGTCAATGAAACTACAAAAATTTACCTTTCTCTCACTTAATAAGTCTAATAACCTTTAGAAAGACAAATAGGTGATAGATATGTCCTAATTTTATTCAGAAATTTGCAGATAATCTTTTCTATTTCTTAGAAATAGGATTTGTCATGAACTTTACAACTTTGGTGGGGGGGGAGGATTGGGTAGGGGGGGTGAGGATGGAATGGGAAGGGGAAACAAAGGAGGAGGCTACAATTCTTGATAAGAAATGTACTCATTATCTTGCCCATGTAATTGTAACCCCTCTGTATAGTAGTTTCACAATTAAAAAAAGAAATAGGATTTGTCTTCTTGATCACTGGTAAGACTGAACTAATATGCATCTTACATACATTAAGATTTAAACTGAAGCTGGGTATATATGGTTGCACATGCCAGTAATCCTAGCACTCTTAATAGAAAAGGCAGAAAGATCACCAGTTCAAGGCCAGCCTGGTCTACATAGTAAGTTCAAGGCCAGTCTCAGCCTCATAGTGAGACCTTGTAACAAAAAAAGTGTTAATTATGATAGTTCACACCTGTAATTTCACTACTCAGGAAGTACTCACAGTTTGAGGCTAGCCTGGGCAAAAAGTTAGCAAGGCACCATCTCATCAATAAGCCAAGTTCAGTGATGCACACCTGTCTTCCCATCTACACTGAAGGCTATGGATAGGAGATTCAGTCTGAGACTGGCCTTGTAAAACACAAGGAAAAAATGCAAAAGAGGGTGGAATGTGGTAGAGTAACTATCTCGCAAGTGCAAGACCCTTCAGAAACCAGAGTACCACCAAAAATGTTAAAAACAAAAATAGGCTAGGTACCAGTGGCTCATACCTATAATCCCAGCTACTTAGGAGGATGAGATCCAGAAAATCATGATTGAAGCCAGCCTGAGCAAAAAAGTTTGTGAAATTCTTTCTCCAAAATAATCAGAATAAATAAGTCATACATATAAAATATTGTAAAATAAACCAAAAAAGATGAAAACCTAATTTTAGTGTCAATTGAAAATATTTTAATGTAGAATTTAAAATGCTAACAGGGAGTTTAATACAGATGTATTATGAGTTATATTGGGTATTTTATTTTAGGAGTCGCCTAAAGAAAGACTATGATGATTTCAGAAGACAACCTGATCATGATAAATTTTCTCGAGAGCTGTGGACTACTGAAGAATGTGAAGGAGATCCTGGGAAAGAATCTCCTAAAGTAGAAATCAATAGGTCTATAGACTCAACAGAACCTCTAGATATCCTGGAGAAAGATCACTTTGATTCAGGTAGGCATTACAAGTTTTTAAAAAGCAATACTAAATGCACAAAGATAGCTTTGTTGTTGTTGTTGTTATTATGGAGGCAGAAGATAATCTGGTTAGAGAAATCAGATATGTTTTAAAGAAGTACTGTCCATGTCCTTATGAGAAATTTCTTGGGAGACACTATTATATTTCTAAGATTTTCTGGAGCCAACGACTAACTCAATGCTTATCACATACCATATAACCTTAATCTGTTACTCCTTTGAAATTATTTCATTCTCTTCTTTTTTTATTACTAGTTTTGAAGTCCTATTTCTGAAGTTTGGAATTTGGAAAGTCTAATCCTGTGAAGTTTGTCATTTTTTAAATGACCAAGATTGGTGGCCTAATGAGACCAGAGGAAATACATCATTTTAGTAAGGATAGGTGTCTGGGTCAGACTACATGTAACTCGTCCATTAATTGCATAAATCTAGTTTAATGGCTTTCTTTAGTTATATGAAAAGTTAGTATAAAAGCTTATGGTTATGCATATACCAACAGTTTTTCATTGCTTTGATGAATTATAAAAATATAACTTCTCAACTCAGTTTGTTAGGATCACAGATTTTTTACTAGAAGGATAAACATTAGAAAAAGACATTTTTTATCCTTTAGAGTTTCTAAAAACAGAATAGAATGAAAAACTCCCTGTTCCTCTCCTTTTCTCTTCCCCTTCCCCTTCTTCCTCCCCATCTCCCTTTTCTCCTCCTCCTCTTTTCTCTCCCTTTTTCTCTCCCTATCCTTTCCTTTTTCTCTTTACTGGGATTGAATTCAGGGCCTGGTGCTTTCATTGAGTTGCTCATGAGCCATACCTCCAGCCAGAACTGTCTTTGGTGTCAAGATTTTCCTATCAAGAGGAAGAAAACAGCAAATAGATTCCTTCCCAAATTAAACTCTGAGCCCTACTTGTTAGCTTAAGTATCCTTTTTTTTTTTTTTTTTTTTTTTGTCGGTTGTGGGGCTTGAACTCTGGGCTTGGGTGCTGTCCCTGCACTCTTCAGCTCAAGGCGAGAGCTCTACCACTTGAGCCACAGCGCCACTTCCAGTTTTCTAGTGGTTTATTGGAGATGAGAGTTTCATGGACTTTCCTACCGGGCTGGCTTTGAACCTCGATCCTCAGAACTCAGATAAAAAGTTTCCTTTTGCATTTACATTGGCAACAGAATTAGAAAATAATTGGTTGCTCTAGTCAAAGGTCACGTTACTTTTATCTCCATAGGTGGTGCTGAAGCTTTTGAATCATCCAACAGTAAATTTCTTGATAAATTGACAGCTGAAAGATTGACTTGCTTTAATTATTGGTGTTATTACTATTCAGCCAGTGTTTTCTGTAAACAAATACTTGTTTTATAATTTTCAGATGATATGAAATTGTCAGAAATTGATTTTCCTATGGCCAGAAGCAAACTGTTGAAAAAGGAATTGCCTTCTAAGGATGTACTGAGGACACTGCCTAAAACACTTAAACGACAGTCCAAACAAACTAATTATCCGGATGATAGCACAAAAGAGCTTTCGCCAAGGAAGAAGGCAAAGTTAAGCACAAGTGAAACAACAGTTGAAAATTTAGAAGGTGACATGCAGATTGACTGTTTGAATGAATCAAAGCATATAGAGCTACCATTTCCAGAGTCACTTGCCTCAGTGGATTCAGTACCAGTGTCTACTCTCCAAAAAGGGACCAAGCCCATTCAGGCATTGCTTGCAAAGAATATTGGGAACAAAGTGACCTTAACAAATCAACTGCCCCCTTCTACAGGTAGAAGTGCTTCTGCTGTGGAAAAGCCAGTTGTATCTCCTCCAGAAGCAAGCCCCATGAAGCCAGCATTAACCTGCCTATCCAGTACAAAAAGTCCTTTACAGATGGTATACAAAATGCCCTGTGGTCAGTGGTTGCCCATAGATCTTCACAATAGCTCTGTGAAAATTCAGATGCAACCTGTGATGGATCCTAAAACAGGAGAAAAAATTATGCAACAGGTTCTTATTTTGCCTAAGAATTTTGTGATTCAGCACAAGGAAGGAAAAGCAGTTGCAAAAGAAATATCACCACTTCAACAAAAAGGTACAGAACAACATTACCCATCTTTCCCAGCAACAGCAAGTACAAATGCTTCTTCAGCGTCGGTTCTTGTCACCTCAACAAGTACTGTTTCTGCCCAACTGCCTAACACAGTTTTTAACAAGATAATTGCACCTCCATCAAATAGTAGTAGTGCTAGACCACAGCCTTTGTCACCTAAAACCTCTGTAAGTAATTTATTATTACCACCAGTTAAAACTAGCCAGAGTGAAGCAGGAAAAACCAAGAATGCAGTTTCAGCAACCACATTCCCCCAGCCTGTTGTTTCACCTACTATTTCCTCAACAGTTCAACCTCTGTTATCAGCAACAACACTAAGTGGGTCTACAAGTCTTGGTAATCCCCTTACCTGTTTTGCACAACAAACTACTGACTCTACTGAAGCAAAGCAGGAACTGAAAACTGTGTGTATAAGAGATTCACAGTCAATTCTTGTTCGGACTCGAGGAGGTAACACTGGAGTTGTAAAAGTGCAGACCAATCCAGATCAGAGTTCCCCCAACAGCTTATCTTCAGGCTCAGTTTTCACATTTGCTCCTCAACTTCAGGCATTTCTAGTGCCCAAATCAACTTCATCATCATCAGTTTTTTCACAAATAGCTGGAATGACTACTACATCTAGTCTCCCACAATGCAGCCAAACACCCACTTCTGTTTCCATTCCTTGTGGCTTTAATCCCTCTGTGGGAAAAAATCTCAAACCTATGTTAGGCCAGCCCTCCAGCACTGGTAGTTTGATAAATAAGACTTCACCCACACCCTCTTCTCCCTTGAAGTCATCCTCTGTTTCTTCCAGCACTCTACTACCATCAACAACAAATAGTTCAGTTAATGTAATTAACATATCAACAGGAAGTTTTGGTCAAACCAATGCAAATGCTATTCATACTCCAAATAAACAGCAGCAAGTAGATTATATCACAAAGAGTTGCCCTATTATGAGATCAGAAGCAACAGCAGCAATAAATGGAGATGTGATCAGTGGGACTCCAGTTCAGAAACTTATGCTGGTATCAGCTCCATCTGTTCTTCCTTCTAGCAATGGAACTACAGTTAATGTGGAACCTGCGCCAACCTCTACAGGTATTTCAACCCAGAAATTAGTTTTTATTAATGCTCCAGTTCCCAGTGGCACTTCTGCCTCAACTATTGTTGCAGAACCATTGAAACAAAGTCTTTCTCCCCACCTGAATAAAACATACATTAAGAGTCCAGAGCAACCCCAGATAGTACTAATTCCATCTTCGGTGGGAGCACCATTAAAAATAAATTCCTCCCCAACTGTGTCTCAAATAAAAGATGTAAAAATTGGGCTAAACATAGGTCAAGCAATTGTAAATCCTTCAGGCCATGTACCAGCTATACCATCAATTAATATATTACAAAGTGTAACGCAGAAAGGAGAAGAGAAAAGTAGCAAGGGCTATGTTTTGCCACTGTCAACAACTGGTAATTCAGTTTCATTAAGCTCAAATTTTGTGAGTCAAAATATTCCCGCTGTTAATGAATCAGTGGTTTCTGCAGCTAAAGCAGTAAACATGTTTTCAGTTACAGGAGCAAATGTTTCTTTGGGTTCCCTTTCAGTGACCTCATCCTCTGCTGCAGTTGGGACACAACCTCCTGTGTTAGTCAGTGGAAATGATACCTCTTCAAGAATTATGCCTGTTTTGTCAAATAGACTTTCCACATCAAATCTCGGAAACACTGTGGCTATATCAACTGTGAAAACAGGACATCTTGCATCCTCTGTTCTTATCTCAACTACACAACCAACATTGACTCCCAAATGTTTAACATCAGCTTTGCAAATTCCTGTTACTGTTGCCTTGCCCTCGCCTGTGACTACATCTTCAAAAATAATCAGCACAGTTCCACAATCAACAACAGCAACAGGAGCCACAAATCCTGTATCTCTTTCTAAAAGACAATCTCGAACTTCTCTCCCATTTCAAACACCAGGGACTTCAACTACAGTGCCAACAAATGGAAACACAAATAAACCTCAAACTGAATTGTCAACACTTTCTCCAAGTCCAGGTAGAATCATTAATATTTCCAATTTTACTTCTCTGCCAAACCACCAAATGTCCCCTGCTTTAGTAAAATCAACCCCCAGTTTCAATTGTGCTCCAAGTGGCTCTGTTGTTCACACTGCTACACCACCATCAAATGTAACTAGTCTGGTAGGGGGTGCCTTCAGTGAACCTTGTATTCAGCAAAAAATAGTTATCAACACCAGTACACCTTTGGCACCTGGTACTCAGATCATGATTAATGGAGCCCGGTTTATTGTCCCACCACAAGGTCTTGGAGCTGGCAGCCATGTTCTCCTTATATCTACTAATCCAAAATATGGACCTCCCTTGGTTCTAAACAGTGGCCAAGGCATTCAGGCTACACCAGTAGATAATCCTGCCCAGAAGGTAACAGTAGGATCAAACCATTCTTTGGGTGGGCAACCTGTTAAACATTCTCTAAGAAGCTCTACAAAAATTATAAACTCGCTTGGGAATGCCAGTTCTCTTCCCACAGTACATACAACACCACAAATTGTAAACACAACTGCTAAAATTTCTATTCCACCTCCTGCACCAGCAGTGTCATTGACTTCAGTTATTAAGTCTCCTCCAGCTACTCTTTTGGCTAAGACATCTTTGGTGTCTGCCATTTCTTCTGGTAATCCTCCACTGCCAAGTAGCACTTCGGTATTGCCTTTGGACACATCTGTGAAAAAATTGTTGGTTAGTCCAGAAGGAGCCATTTTGAACACCATAAATACTCCAGTCTCTAAGGTTTCTTCATTGTCTTCATCTCTCTCTCAAATTGTTGTATCTGCCAGTCAAAAACCTGCCTCTGTCTTCCCTGCTTTTCAATCATCTGGTTTAGAGAAACCTGACACAGCTGCATCTTGAATTAGACTAAACGAGCCAGTTTTTAAATATTGGGGCATTGTTTTAACTCCCTTGAAAAATTTTAACTGTTTATTATCTGTTGAAAACATACTCTATACATAGTTGAGAGAATGTGTACGTGCGTGCGTGCGTGCGTGCGTGTGTGTGTGCTTTAGCTTGCAGCAAGATTTTCTTTTTTTAGGGAGGGAAAAGTGTATAGAGGGAAAAGTGTATACCATTTCACTCATTGATAGGAGGATGTTTTTCAGAAGTTCTTTGTTTAAATATATGGTCAAGATTTACTTGTCTGTATAAAAAACTGAACAAAGTCAAATTTGACTAGAGTAAGCTAGCCTTTTGCACACTTAAGTCGACATTTCTTTTTTGAATTTGAACTATTACAGCGTATTGATGATATAGTTTTCTGTGTCATTAGTAAAATCTTATTTTTGTTTCTGTACAAAGAATATATATATTTATGCATTGTGAAAATGCAGCCCATGGTGTAAAATTGTACATATTCCTAAATCCCTAACAAGCTGTACTAAATATATGTACAAAGAACTATGCTGTCTTATTTATGTTTTGTTTACATAATGTATAGTTTTTTAAGTATTTTAGTAATTTTGGACCAGTGAACTGTTAGCAACAATGCAGAAGGATCTGCATGTAATAAACTTGAGTTGCTGTATTTCTTTGTTTGAATTTGCCATTTTTAAAATGTGTTTTTGTTTCATTGAAAAAATTGCATGATATAATTAAGACAGGCCTTTTTTAAAAAGGAAAAGAGTGCTAAGGCTAGGAAATGTGTATTAATAATGCTATTTGTGTACAATTTTACAGTTTACATTTACTTTCATGAAATCATTTGATTTTCACATTACTCAAGCAGTTATGTGCTACCCAGCTGTTAGGTGGTAGAGCCAGTATTTGAGCTTAATGCTCCAGAATTTTTTCTCTGGTTTTACATCTATTTTTAAAAATAGATATAGAATTTTTATTCTAGATTTCATAGTTTGACTTTTTAAAAATCCACTATCAAATTATACATTGAATTTTTTTCCTAGCCAATATATTTTGTATCTGTTAATGTACCTCTAATATGTTTCTTAAAACTTATTTGCTCTTTCCAGACAGGGTCTTGCTATTTCGGCTAGGCTGGCTTGAACTCATGGTCCTGCTGAATCAACTTCTAGAGTAGCGTTTAGAAAAAATGTACCGCACGCTCAACAAAACTTTTTATTTTATTTATTTTTTGGGGGGGGGGGTCTGGTCGTGGGGCCTGAACTCTGGGCCTGGGCGCTGTCCCTCCGCTCTTCAGCTCAAGGCTAGTGCTCTACCACTTGAGCCACAGCACCCCTTTCGGCTTTTTTCTTTTTGCTTCTATGGTGCTGAGGAATCGAACCCAGGGTCTCAGGCATGCAAGGCAAGCGCTCTACCACTGAGCCACCTTCCCAGCCCAACTTTTTATTTTAAAATAATTTTAGATTCATAGGAAGTTGCAAATATATAAAGAAATCTCCTTTACCCTTCACTTTTCTTTCCCTAAATAAGTTAATTTTTAAGTTAGGGTATATTGTTTTGATTTTCCAGACTTATATGTAAGGAAATGAATTTTTTGGTAGTTTAGCATTAAAAGTGAGTGTGAATATTAGTTATCTTTCTTATTCTTTTTTGTTTTATCCCAATTACAAAGTGATTACTTAAATTCCATTGTAAAGCAAATTTTGTGGCTCAGATAATTCTGTTTGATTTTTGTAGTAATTCAGAATATGCCTCATTCTAAATAAAAGGTAGCTTTTCTATTTATTGGATATTTATTACCTTATTTGAGGTATACTGATTATACATTTCTCTTACAATGTTATTGTTAAACCTTTCCACAAAGAATTACAGTATAAAATGATAGGCCTAATAATTGCTTTGGAAATGGTAAGTGGAAAGAATTGTGTGTGTTCCTGAAAAGATACTAAAAAGCTCTCAAAAATTTTGGGAAGAGGGAAGTATGTGGTAAAGTGTCTGGATTTTGGTTTGGTTTGGTTTATGTGTTGTGGAACACTGTGTGTGTGGTATGTGGGTATGTGTGGGTGTGTTTAGATAGGATCTTACCTGTGTAGCCTAGTCTGACCTCAGGATCCTCCTGCATGCCACACCATCCAGCTTTTCAAAATGTATCTTTAAATCCAACTGCCAGTGGCTCATACCTGTAATCCAAGCTGCTCAGGAGGCTGAGATACGAGGATTGCTGTTTGAAGCCAACCCATGCAGGAAAGTCTGTGAGTCTTACCACCAATTAACTGACAATAACCCAAAAGTACCTACGGCTCATGAAGTGGAGTGCTAGCCTTGAGGGGGGAAAAAAAAGTTCAGGAACAGCCAAAAATAAGTACCTTTATTCTTTAAGACAGTACCTTTGTCAATCATGTCTACAATATGCTCACACTCCCCCTTTTCCTGTTAGCTTAAAAAAACACTGGGAGCTCAGAATATGGATGATATGTAAAGTGCATTGCGTTACATATAGGTGCTCAATGAATATATTTCTATACCCAGCTTTTAAAACAAACTGTTCCCCTTTGGTCTCAAAAGAGTTCTCTAAACTTCCAGAAAATAATTTACTGAATTATCTAAGACCTAACTTTAATCCTAGTGAAGGATCTAATTAACCATTAAAATATCTTCCAATCTCTGGGTGTGTGTGGGGGAAGAGTGTGTACTAGGGCTTTAACTCAGAGCCTCACACTCTTAGCGTTTTCGAAAACCCATGACCTGTATGCTGCCATTTGAGTCATACCTCCAATCTGGCATTTTACTGGGTAATTGGAGATAGAATCTCTCAGACATATCTGTCCAAGCAAGCTTCAAATTACAATCCTTACATCTTAGCCTCCTGAGTATTAGGATTACAGGTGTGAGCAACTGGCACCTGGCCTCTTCCAACTCTTCATCCCAAAAGTTTAATAAAATCTCCAAAGCTGTAAATTAGGGAAACTTTAGATTGAAGCCTAAAAATTTCATGGTAACCAGGCATTGGTGGTACACACCTATAATCCTTGCTACTTAAGATGCATGATCTGAGTATCACAGTTCAAAGCCAGCCTGGACAGGAAAGTCCAGGAAGACTCATCTCCAATTAACCACCAAAAAGCCAGAAGTGGAGCTGTGGCTCAAGTGGTCTAGCAAAAATGTGCCCATTCCCTAAATTCAAGCCCCACTACAAGAACCACAAAATAGTTTTTTTTTTAAAGTCTCCTCGAACTGGAAGTGGCACTGTGGCTCAATGGTAGAACTCTAGCCTTGAGCTGAAGAGCTGAGGGACAGTGCCCAGGCCCAGAGTTCAAGCCCCATAACGGGCAAAAAAAAAAAAGTTTCCTCATGGCCTGGAGGTGGGCCAGGTACAGAAGCACTGAACTCAAATCTCAGTACTATGCAAAACTTAAGGCTTTCCCTGCCTGCTTTTACTTTATTCCAATTGACTGCATTCTAGTTTTCTTTTAGCTTGGAACACATCAAGATCTTTGCAGATGTCCTCTCTGATTTAATATTTGGTTACAGGTTCAAATGACATGTAATTCTTTCTCCTTGCTATACTCTAGCCAGTAGCATAATATTGCAGTCAGTCATAGACTGAGGAGATAGATTAAACAAGAAAGACATAGTACTCTTCACAATTATAATTATTTACGATTATTTTAATGACTGTAATACTTTGGTAAAAAAACATGCCATCCCAGGTACTAGCACACAGTATTCAATATCTACTCGTTAAGTAAGTGAATAGAATCTTATTTAAGGTCTAGTTCCCTTACTAAAATTAATGTTCTAAGCTGGCCAGTGTAGCACATCTCAACAATCAGGGAGTTGAGGCAGGATTGTTATTTCAGGAAAGCCTAAGCTATCATGAAATATAATGAGACCTGTCTTTAAAAAACAAACTACTAAATATTTGATGAATAAACTTAAGTATTCAAACAGCTGCATTTCCTTTGCCTCTAGTTCTGTAGGTCAAATGGGTAAACATTTTGGTTAGAGTGCAAACTCCTCAGTTTTTATGCTCTTTTAAGTATTCATCTAAGGGAAAAGCTACTAAAAGAACGGGTTCACAATGCTAAGGAAGTTACATTTCTACATTCAGTGTAGAATCAGGCCCATTTGGGTAACTATTCAGTATCATTTCAATACTTCTCAAAGCATGCTAGAATAACATCACTTTCTAATACATTAGCACTTCTCTTTCATTCCTTATAATGCTTCCAATCTAAGTCCCTGCTTTTAGTGGTGCATTCAGTAACTGACATAACAAGTTTTGCAACAGTCTGGGTGCCAGTGGCTCATGCCTGTAATCCTAGCTACTCAAGAGGCTGAGCAACTCAAAGCCACCCTGGGCAGGAAAATAGGTGAGAGTCTTCAATTAACCACTAAAAAGTCGAAGAGGAGCTGCGACTCGTGGTAGAGCACCAGCCTTGAATGGAAAAGCTTAAGATATAGCACTTAGGCCCTAATAAGTTGAAGCCCCCAGCCTCTGCACACAAAACAATATTGATCACTGTAGTATTGACTCAAGATCAAGTTAAATATATACTCAAACCAGGAAAATACTTAACTTAGAGCAGAGAGGTAAATTTAGAAACAAAATTTTTGTGTGTGTACCAAGATGAGTTCAGGGCTTTGTTCTCTCACTTGACTTTCCTGCTCATAGTTGGCCCTTTATTACTTGAACCATGCCTCTAGCCTTGCTTTTTACTGGTTTTAGGGGTTGAGTCTCACAACCATTTCTGCCCAGATCTCCTCCTTCTTGTAGCAATGGTTTCAAGTATGAGTCACCTGCCCCAAGCTAGAAATAATATTAAAACCTTGAAAAGGTAGCAAGTAATCAAAGTAGTGTAAGAATATGATAGACATTATAGTTATCAGAATCATACTACTAGGGCTTGAGGCCTATAGCACAGAAGTGGTAGTATGCTTGTTTGACAAGAGCAAGACCCTGGTTTCAATCCACAATACTACAAAATTAACTTAAAGATAATAACTTGCGGATGTGAGGGCGATCCGTTGATCACCAGGGTTGATTAGGCTGATCTGGCTGGCTAGGCCCGTGTTCCCTTGCTCCCTCACCGCTCTGCCCCTCCTGAAGCTGTGCACTTACTTGGTCGAAGAGGACAACCATCCCTGGTAGAGGAGGATTAGTCGCTCTGCTGCTAGAACCTCCAAAGATAATAACTTGCCTTAAGTTGATCCACAAGTTGTTTCACTAGCATCACCTGAGCCAGAAGCTTTCTTGTAGCTATAATAGTCTACTTGACTTAGTCTTATTTATTCAATAAGCATACACTATATGCACTGTGATGCTGCAGTGCTTAGAAAGGCTTTTGAAAGCACACAATGTTCTAGTTACTTGGAGAGACAATTGTGAGCAATCACTGTAGTTAAAAAGTAGTATGTGTCAAATGTGTTTATTTCTGTAAATCCTAGCTATTCAAGAGAAACCTCCCCATTATCCAGGACCTGTGTATGGCAAGTACTGTCAGTGGATGACTGGGGGTCTGAAGATACCTAGATGTTTAGGCTTGTGGTCCCTAGGAAGATTTGGTAGACTGAGGCTCAAATAGGCCTGAAAATACCTAGAGCAGGTGGCCAGATGCCTATTAGTGTTTTCTTCATTTATAATTCTTTTTTTTTTTTAAGCAGCGG